ACTAGTTCTTTTAGCCTCCTTCCAAGACAGAGTACAACCTTTGAGCCAAGGCAACATTATGCTGACTTCCCTCTTCCTGGATGCTTTTCTTCTGTAAACCTGAAAACTTAAAAAATAAGACTTGCTTAATGTCTGGAAACACGTTATCTTAAAAAATGCAAAAACTTTCCAGACAGGAAACTTAAATTAGAGCCTTCAACAGCTGGGGTCTTGGCTGCAGCTGGATGTCTGAAAACATTTAGATTTAATAAAAATGTAGGCTTAACATCTTGAAGGCTTAACATCCCAATGTAGGCTTAACATCCCAATGGCATTAGTTCCAAAAGGGATTTCTAAAAGTATGGGTCTCATTTAATATAGTTGGTATACCTCATCACACAGGGCAAACCTGTTACAATGTGCTGCCTGAGGGGGGTGGGGGGCTCCCTCCCATTCTGTGTGCATATCTGCAAATCTTCCTTCAGTACTGGCGATGTGACAGTGTCCACCACTGAATGTCAGGGTACCTGGCAGGCTTAGACAGGGCAGTTCAAGGTGTAGGTTGCGCAACTTTTTCTTTCAATATTTTGCCCCCCGCCCCCGGCCATCATTTGCCTGAAACAACTGCTTCACTCTGCCTAATGGAAAGGCCAACTCTGTCATCACAGAAATTACTCAGTGTACAACATGTTATGGGGTCTCTTAGGTGGCAAATGTTTAAATTTGTGCGCGGGGGGTGGGGGGAATTCACAACTCCAGTGATCTGGTTGCAGCTTCCCTTTGGACAGCCAGCAAAATGTTCAACTCCCCTTTCTCCCCCTCCTAGAACTTGACAAGAAGAGTCTTCTCAGGGGACAACCAGCTCCCCATATGCACATTAGCAGCAACATCTGACTGACAATATTCACTAAGCCAAAAGGGGAAATGATGGATATTTTTCCTTCCGCACCTTTTGTGTCTTCTCCATTGTAGGGAGCCCTTCAGCACTTCCCACTCTCCTTGTAAAAGAGTTTGCAAAACCAGTGCTGAAAAAGCCAGGGTGCTTCACAACATGACAACATGTTATGACAGTTAAGAGTATGGAACTCAAGCCAAGCAGACCCAACTTTAAATTCCAGACTGCGTGACACTAGTCCGGTCCTTGTCAGCATGATCTACATCACAAGGTAGTTGTGAGGATTAAATGGAGCCAGGGGAGACATGCCTGCTGTTTTGAATTTCTTAGAAGAAAGTAGAATATACTTAAATAACTCTTCTGCTGCATTGTTTTGTCTCAGTTCTGCTTAAACCTGGCATTCAAGCAAAAGTCTAGGTATGTAAACAACAGTGTAGCTGTACTTGCTCTATTTTCGCCAGACTAAGCTCACTTCTAGAGCTTTCCCAAACCTGGCTGTAAGAGCTGCAGTGCTTGTGTCCAAGTGATGGGTCAGATACAAGGAGATGCCCTTTGCTAACTATATCCCTACCTCCTGCACATCATCCCTTCTGCCCCACTTTGAACCCTCAGCAGGAGTAAGCCTTGGGCTAATGGAGAGACTGAAATAGGCACAGAATCTGCATAGCTGTGGCATACATTCTGCTGCTGGACTCACTCAGCTCAGAGCTGCAGCATCTGAAAGACTGCTTGTGCATCTGCCTCAGGTGCTGGTGTAAGTTCCTGCATGGAGATAAGTAGGGATTGAAGGTGAGCAGCTTGGAATTCGATACCCATATGGAAGAAAATAACCAAGGCACTCAAGAGATTTGGAGAAAAAGAGACAACTCTTGAGTGCCTAAGGGCCCAGTTACTTTTTGGAAAAGCTTTTGGGACTTGTATTCTATTGGTGGGCTTAGCCTAAAATTTTTGCTGTCTGTAATTGCCTGTAGCCTTAGAAGAGGTATTCTAAACCTTTAGGATAGGAAAAAGCAGGAAAACCACCAGACCATCACTAGATGGGAAAAGGGGGATAGATCAAAGAAAGGAGGCATAGCTATCCAGGGAATTCAGGAGGGCTGAATTCTGGACCAGATGCTCTACACCCCCTATTGAAAGAACTGGAATGGGTTCTGTTATAAGTTAAGAAAAATTCAATTGTGATTTCTTATTCTCCAATGTTGAATCTTGCTTTTGTCTTGTGGAATGTCTGAAGGGTTCTCCCAAGGGGACTGCATGAACACTACTGTGCTACCCTGCTCTAGCAGTCCTTGTTTTTCTTGGCTTAATAAGTAACACTGCAACAATGAGTTGATTTTAAAAGGTTTCGATCATTTAAATTGTCCCCAATTAATTTGGCAGTAGCTGTTCCACCTTTAACCAAAAAATACAATCCTTACAAAAGGAGTGGGATGTAAATGTTGTCTGAAGAAGCATTCTTCCTTTTCTGAGTTGCTCGCTATGATATATCAAGTGTTACCTTCTAAAGAAGAAATGTTCCTCCCACAAAGTATTTTATATCTAGGTCTAATTGATTGATGTTACTTGATTAAGGATGCATTCTTATACCCACATGCCTGGAAGTAATTTCAGTTGAACTCAGTGAGTATTCCTTTTGAGTAGACATGTCTAGAATTGCACTTTACAGAAATTTTAGTCAATTGAATCAGGTGTGTATGGGACTCATAGTACCACAAGAAATGTGTTTGACTCTAAGATGTCACAAGACATCTCATGATAGTATAGTGGTTAGAATGTTGTTACTGACTCTCAGCTTAACCTTCCTTACAGGGTTGTAAGGACAACATGGACAGAAGGAGGAGGATCATAGAGGATGTGCTGGGTACCTTGAAGGAAAATGGGTGGATGTAAACATAATAATAAATAAAAGTAATTAATTACATAGATACATGAAAATGTTGTCTCGGGGGCTTTCAAGGATGTCATCAAATGCTGAAATTACTGCTATAGCTTTTGAAGAAATGAAATTGCCTTACACATATTTGGGCCATTGGTAGCAAGTTGCTAAGATTTTGGCAGCATTTTTTCTTAGCGCTGCTACCCAAGTTTCAGGAAGTGAAGCTTGGAAGATGCAACCCCTGAAACATGTACTTTGGCATGGAACAATATTTCCACCTAAAATGCAGTTCTAAAGAAGTCTAAAATGTGTTTTTTACCTTCTTAGTCTCATGATCCAAACCATTTCCTTATTGAAGTTTGTCCCTTATCAAACTAATCTTTCTGGTTTGTTGAATTATACTACAGCTTGATGTTTGTTTTCAAGTAATTTATATCTCTGAACACCTGATGAGACAAAACCAACATTCTGCAGTGTGACACAGAAAGATTCAGCAGTTATATGCTCCTCCCAGCTCTCAAAGCCAGGCACGAAAAGTCTTGAAACAATCAGTCCTTTTTCCATTTCTGTTTGACCATCTTTTTAATTAAAGATGCTGTTATTTAGGGGCAGGGCTTAAAGACAAAGGCTGCTCAAAATTTGCCTTGCTGTGCCTGTCTCCATTGTGTTCAAGGCTAAGCTATCTATCTGCAGTTAGTCAAGCTTCTTTGGTATTAAACCTCCATTAATGAGATAAATTTGCTGAAAAAACACAAGTTGCTTGTATGATCTAAATGTCTCTTTAGATTGGAAGGAACAGGAAATGTTAGAAATGTAGTGAACAGACACAAATGGATATGGAAAATATTTACCTAGAAATGGAAACTAGTTTTAAGTTTCTTTGCTTAGGGAGAATTAATCTAGATCTCTGGATTTTACCTCAGAGCTGGCAGAGCAGCTCTGTAGCTAAGACCAGTTTCTGTGTATTTAGAAAAATCTACTTACAAAATTGAGATTTATGCTGTTGCTAATAATTTTTGCATAGAGGCTCTCTTGGTTTAGAACTGTAAGCTAGTTTTCCCCTTTGTTTTTGAAACCTTACATTCGATTTACGTTTTAGCTGCATTTTTGTGCATATTCTTGTATTTCCACAATTGTGTGTCTGTAAATGTGATCATAATGTCGATGATTATGTTGTTTTGGGTTGACCTAATGAAACACAAGTTTGTGATAGCTTTTTCAGTGCAATTATCAGGTGGATTATATGGAAGAACTCTCTTGAGTGGTGGGGATGAGATGATACAGTGAAAACTGAAGATAAGGGAGAGTTCTGACTGGAAGGCAAACTCTGTGCCAGGGGTAGACAGTTCGATGCCCATAGGCATGAATGCACCCTGAACACCTTTATTTGTGCACACCAAGGGGCCCTACCTATCTCTGCCCTATGTAATTGTTTACATTTCAGCTAAGCTGCTGATGACTGAAGGCTCACGATTCTTTAGTGCTGGTGGTTGCAAAGCCATCTGTGGTACAATTTGAAAAAAAAAAGATTTCCTCACCTGTGGTACAAACAAAAGACATCTGGGGTAACAGATGTAGGAGGTATGGCTTGTGTTCACATTCCCCTGGCCTCTTTATAACTTTACTCTTTATACTTTTAGTCTTGCTTTTATAGAATGTTAAAATTTGATAGTTCTATCAGCAATTGTTCCTGCTGTGAATAACTGTGTTATTTTCATAAAGCTCGAATTGAATTGTCATAGACTGTACTTCTTGCATTTCACTGTCATTAACCCTTATTGCCACTTAGCATGAATTTTTACCTGTGTTTCCTTTACACTCACATTTATGTATACCTTCCAAATAAGGATTACGTTTCATGCATTTGATGGACTCTAGTCCATGAACACTTGCACCATAATTTGTTTATTTTTAGGGTGTCAAAGCCTCATTGTTGTTTTTGCTGCAGCAGGCTGATTGTCAAACAAAAAAAAAATCTGTTTTGAATTACATCATTCTAACATACTGATGAAATGCACTCTGAAAGTGTAAGTCCCACAGTCTGAATTTTTGGGTTGCCTAAAATAGGAGACAGGTGACTACCTCTTGTTGCTACAAAACTTCAGCTCTGGTCCTCCATGACCACTGGCCATGTTTTTTGGGGCTCACCAGTGTTGGCAGCAAAGCAGATCTGAAGGCTGCCAATTTCCGATCTCTTTTAGCCTTACATATTTCAAATTTCTCTTCATTCTGCTTCTTCCTTCCTTGCAGATCAATGAACTGAGCCATGTACAAATCCCTGTTATGTTGATGCCAGATGACTTTAAAGCATATTCAAAGATAAAAGTGGACAATCACCTTTTCAACAAGTAAGTGAAGTAGACAATATTTATGTATGGCATAGATCTGTATGCATTTGATTATTTGTCAATGGCTAGAAGGAAATTCTTGCTGATTAACTTGGATTTAATGATTCAGCTCCCTTTAATATGTTAAAAACTGTCAGCTGATCAACTGTGAAGTAAGTTTTTTTGTTGCATTGTATACTGTTTTCTATAAATACCTTGTAACAGAATTTAACTGCAAACATATATGAGCAAATGTATTGAACATGGTATTGCTTCAGACCTTTAGAGCACAGTCCTATGCATACTTAGACAAAAAACGTCCTACAGCTTCCAGCACATCCCACGCTGAGAATCATTGTACATTTTTTCTGTCAAATCATGCATAGGATTGCACCCTTAGTGTATTAGTCACCTACTGAAAGACTCAGGGAGGATGACAGCTCTCTCTTTCACATGCACATGCACACACCCAATGGAAAACCCACTGAATCCAAAGCAAAACAATAGTAATCTCCCCACACCCATATGCCAGTCCACAAAAGCTTTTGCCACAAGATACTGCTTCAGCTTAAGCTGGTTACAAAATGCTTGCATCAGTGTCTCCAAAAATTCTTTAGGGATGGGTAAACTGGTTGAAATCTGGATGGGTGATCTAAATGTTGTGAGCTGTCCAGAGAGTTAAGGCTATGAGAGGTATAGAAATGCTGCTGCTGCTGCTGATACTCATGACTCTGCTTGGAGTAACTCAGAAATAAACTGACTTTTCCCCCCAAAGGAAACAGATCAGTTCATTTTCTGAACTAGTCCAAGGTCCATTGGGGACATTCCCCTTCTTGCCAATTCTATGCCAACTCCCAAATCACCCTCCTCTCTTTTCCCTTAATTTGCTTGCCAGTGGAAGTGGGAGAGTGAGAGCAATTGATAGCAGGGGAAAAGAAGGCTCCCTCGCCACATCTTGACATGTTGCTCAGTGCATCAAGACAGAAAGAGTTGTGGTCCTTAAGAATTGGAAAGTTGTGATGAAGTTTGTTTCTGCATCAGACCTGGAAAAACATTTGCAACGTATCTACTTAGCTTTACACGAGTTTCTAGAGAGCCTTAAGGGTGCAATTTTATGAATGTGCTGACAAAAATATTCTGGCTAGGGAATACTGGAAGTTTCAAGCCTTTTCTCTAAATATGCATAGATTTGTACCTTTATTAATAAGGCAGCAGCTCTTAATGATGCTCTGTGGTTTATTCTTGGCATACAGATGGAATTAAGGGGATACTATTCATTGATTTTGGAATTTTCGTTGTGAGCTGTGTTGGAAGACTTTAGGTGGGTATGTACAAATTTTTACACAGGGCAGGGTCTTAGGCAGGCTGTGCCTAGCTGACCCATATTTCATAACTTAATGTCACTCTGGTTTGCTTCTGGAAGCTAATCTGGAACTGGAGCACTCCTGATTACCCACCACCACCAGGACATGAACTGCATTTGCTAAATCTCCTAGCATTAACAGTTCCGTGTGGACTACCATGGACTGGCCTCATAGCTATGTAGGCATACATTACGGGGTGTTAGAGCTGAATCCTGCAAAGCAGATCAGAGCCTTTTGCTAGATGAAGCTGATTGGGGAAAAGTGCTCTACCAGTCATATGTCTGAAGTTGCAGGCTCACCGATGGATCCAGGTTCTGCCGCCAGGCTGAGAACCTGCTTAACCAGGGGAAGCCGATGTTGTCAGTGGAAGCTCTTTCCCTCCCTGCATCACAGGGTCTGCCAACAACCACTATTGCAGGCTTGCCTGGATTAATCTTCAAGAAGTTTGCCTGTGGTGAGGCACTGGTAAGCACTGGCATGGCAGGACGTTGGTTTCATTCGGAGAACAGCTTGCAGTTTATGTTGTGCTCTATATTTCCGCATGAGCTCATGCTGGTTTTGCAGAAACCTTGGAACATGTTCAGGATGGTGCTTTTTGGCCCAAACAGGAAAGTTCTCAAGAAGAATGCAGTCAGCTCTATCAGTTAGGATGGCTTTCTGTATCCCAGTTGTAACTTAAGAAGCTGTCTTGTTGGTCCATCTAGTTTAGTATTGTCAATGCCAGGGGATGGCAACTTGTAGCCCACTTACAAGTCCCACCATCCATCACTGTTTTCTGTGCTTTCTGCAGGTGATGGGAGTTGTAGGCCAACACTCAGTGATCACTAAGTTGCTCACTTCTGGCCTATATTGTTTGGCAGTGGCTTTCCAACATCTCAGACATGAGTCTTTTCCAGCCCTACTGGAAATGCCCAGAACATAGAAACAGAATGAGTCAGAAGGGTCTCCCGGGCCATCTAGTCTGACCCCTGGCTTCAGTCCCCAGCTCTAACATATTCTCTGTAAGTGAGCTACAGATGTTCCCTATGTAGGAGGCCCCTGATTCAGTGCATAGTATCACTACTTAAATGATGGATGGGCATTTTGAAGCCCTTCACTTAATTTCATATTGCTTTTGGCTTAAAATGAAAAGAGATGAATTCTAGACTTCTAACAAGAATGATCTGTCCCTTTCCTGGCAGCCCATTGATAGGAGAAGAAAGGAGAGAGAGAGAGAGATGGGGTGGCAGACAGAAAGAGAAAATGGGTGGTTCTGCTTACCACCCTGACAGATTACCCTTCACGGAGTTACCCTTAACAGAAAAATGGTTGCTCACCCTTTGTCTTGGAGGATCTGTTATTGCAGCACTTGAGAATATCTCTGCCTGAGTCTTTCGACTGTTGCTGTTCATTGGAGTAGACAATATTGCACTAAATGGACCAATGGTTGGACTTAGAATAACGTCCTCCCCTGTGTTCCTGTCTGTATTTGAGTAAAGATGATTAACAAAGGTCCCAGCTACAGCTCTGGCTATTCTGTTATTCTGTGCAAGTACCACAGGAGAGGTTCTGATGATCTCATTTCCATAATGTCTAATGTTTTTGTGCTACTTTCTGTCACAGATTATATGGCCTTCATTTTATCTAGTTAGACTGGACCTACTGAGAGGATTACTGAGCAAGATATGACATTCTGAGCTACAGAACACAGATTTACTAAAATGTTGTTGAATACCTTTTGATGTAGCAGTTTTACAGCATTCTGTGTAAGAGTGACTGTCTCTATGCTTTAGAAAACTCCTGGTGTAGCAGCAGTGAGAGACCATACCCCTGCAGTTCTATTTCTGAAGAAGATATAGGATTCTTCACTAATTCACCTCATTTATCAAATCTGTGTTTCAGAGAAAATATGCCAAGCCATTTCAAATTCAAGGAATATTGTCCAATGGTTTTTCGTAATCTTCGAGAGAGGTTTGGAATCGATGATCAAGACTTTCAGGTTTGTCTCCTATCTTTGTAAGCAAGTATTGATGATTTCTAGGGCTATTCTGGGGTGGGGATGGTCATTTAAGTGACAGTTTTTCTTCCAGAGAGAGACTATTCTCTCTCTCCCTCCCTCCCTCCCTCCCTCTCCCCTACAAGGGGGTAAGACTGCCAAATCTTCATCTGTCAGTGCCCATGCTTTTAAATACCTTATGTAAAGAAATACCGTGTATTCATCTGTCAGGCCTCTTGCTCACCTTCTGCCCTTGTCCACTCTGACCAGCAGGACTCTTTGCTCTTCCCCAGAGAAATGGGCAACATCTGGTGGATGGATGGGGCTAGAAAGCCATGACTATGTTCTCACAGTGTCTTGTAACATTAATTCAATCTCACCAAAAAGCTGAAAGTCTCAACGTTTACTGATAGTCTTGACACAGGGAAAGTTTTGTTGCTGCAAACATTAAGTCAATGTACTCATGGTCTGCAATTATCTCATTGAACAAACTGTTCTAGAAGCTTCATCAGTAGACTTCCAGGGAAAACCTGAACAAAAACTAGCACACAACGCAACAGACCACTTGTAGGCCAAAGCTCTTTTTTGCGTCAAATGGATTTTGGCTCTGAATGGAATGACAACAGAGATGGAGTGAGCCTCATTTTCTCTGGGAGAGAATAGAGGAGAAGTGTAACAAACTCAGATTGCACATTATTTATATCATCTCCCTTGTCACATTAACTTGCTGTCTAGACTGTAGAAAATTTATGTGTAGAGGGGTGGCTACTTCCCATCACTTTTGAGTCAAAGATCCTATGGAAAGAACAGAAGGCATTTCTCACTTCTCCATCTAAAAATGTTATCAAAGGTCATGCAATTCTCTGTAGCCAACTTTTTGCAGGGCTTCAGATGGAAAGAACTTGGTGATGCCTGTTCCTCCTTTGAGCAGACAGAAGCATTTTTAGACTGAAAGCCACTTACAAGCTTTTGTAGGAACCTATTTTTAAGATTGTAAAAAAACCTGACTATATTATTTTGAGAGGATAACAAAGACTTCAAAAAATCCTTAAGCAGCATCTCCTTGGAGAAACTAAGAAGATATACTTAAGCTAATTCAAGAACATAGCAATTAAGTTTTACAACATTTTAATATTTTTCAGTCCTTTCGTAGAACTGAAAACAAAGCCCTATAAGGAGAGATTGAAGGAGCCAGGCCTTGAGAAGATTGTGGGGAGATATGATGACACTTTTCAAATACTTTAAATGTTGTCACACAGAAGAGGGCAAGGATCTCTTCTCAAACGTTCTGGAGTGCAGGGTACAGAATAATGGACTTAAGTTACAGAAAGCCAAATTCAGGCTGGATATCGAGATAAATTTCCTGTTAGAGTAGTACAGCAAAGGAACCGATTACCTAGGAAGGTTGTGGGTTCTCCCACATTTGGAGGCACTGAAGAAGCAGTAGGACAGCCACATGTTGCGGATGCCTTAACTTGTGGTCCTGCTTGAGCAGGGAGTTGGACTTGATGGCGTTCCAACTCTTCTATGATTCTATGAACTGGATTTTCCTTGAACTGTTCCACGTTTAAATAGCAAGCCCCACCTTAAAGAGACTCTGTCTTAGTCCATTGATAGAAGGAAATAGCAGAATTAGTTGGAGGGTGTAAGAATAAAGAATTTTTGGTAAACCTGCATGGGCTTTTAATTTTTCTTATGAAAAACTAGAAAAAGCCTTATCACAGTGGGTAGATGAGCATGTCAAAACTGCAGTTAATCCCAACGCTATGACAAGTGCATCCATCTGAAATATATGCAAAGACCTTTAAGCCAAACTTATACTTTTAAATATATATTTTTAGAACAATCTCAGCAAGTATACTTAATTTAGAGCTACATTTTAACACTAAAGAACACATTAAAAATATGGTAGTAAATAAAGACCCAGAAAATAGAGTGGGAAAGTGCTGCTAAGTGCTGGGCAGAAGTATGCAGAGTTTTCTTTTTCTTCTATTTAGCCAGATCATTTAAGGCATACATATGGAAACTAAGACAATTTCACCAGCAGCTATAATGGGTAAATATTTCTCCTTTGCAGTCAGCTCTCCTTAATATAGGATGGATTCACTCTCTTTAGACATCTAGAGGATCTTTGGAGATTTCTCAGGTTGTTTTGGTACTGACAAACTGAATAGAAACAGTAGCTATCAGTTGTGCACCCAAAGTCATATGGAAATGTGAAGTAAGGTGTCATTAGTGTACTGATGGTGCCCACTCTTTTTCACTTAATCCATATGAAACGGATGTTGTAGCCAGAAGCCCCAGCCAGTAGTGGACAAGTATGAGAGTCAATAAACTGACTCCAGTTAAGGTAGAATTCTGTCTTAAGCAAGAGTTTTTCTAAGAAAACTGAAATCTCAAGTCAGATTTGGTTTCTGTATAAAGCCTAACTTGCATAGGATGCAGCCATGCTTAAAGACCTGACCTGTGTAAGCATTCATAGAATCTCAGAGTTGGAAATGTCCTTGCTGTATGAAGCCCATCTTGTCTGAATGCACCTACAATATGCACAACCGTGCTAATGCAAATATTACCTTACATTTATACACCACATTTTTCTCTTGTGAGGAATCTAAGGAAGTTTACAAGGAGCGGCTCTCCTCTCCATTTTATCCTCACAATAACCACCCTGTGCAATAGGTTAGGCTGAGAGTCTGGGACTGTCACCGAGTGAGCTTCTTAGCTGAGTGGAGACTAGAATGCAGATTTCCTGGGTTCCTAGTCCTGTGCTCTAACCACTGTATCACACTGGCTTGTAGGTTAGCACATATTGGAAAGCACATTCAAGTAAGAACTTTACCTGTAGCCCATATCGTATGATACTTTTATATTAAATATCCCTATGGCAGAGACATTCACTTACATCATCTGCACATGATGGTGGTGAATATTCTTAAAGGAAGATATTTGTAGTGATGATATGGGAGAGTTCATATTTTAGATGAAGTAGAAAATACTTTAATGAACATGATGCATACCAAGCCATGCCAATGGACTCTCCTGCTTCTACAATCTCAAGATGAAATTCTCGTATGTGGAAAGAGAGTCTTAAAAAAATCTTGACATGGAATTAGAAATGAGATCTGGAAAATGCTAGGTTTGGTGCTTGGCTTTGATTTTAAGTGGAAATTGCCAGTGAATTTTGCAGACTGTTATTAGCAACTAGGGTGGTCTTGGAGCTGCTTTTTCATTAAAGAAAGATCTCCATATCCATGTTCAATAATGAGTGCTTTTACTGTAAAAGTAGGCTAGGGTAGCACCCAATTATTTCATCTGGATTAAATCAACTTGCAAGGAATAAAGATTTGTGTGATGGAGTTTGTGCATTTTGATATGAATCTAAAGTGTATTATTAACAATGAAAATTCCTTCTGCAAGGTCTGAGCTACAAGATGTTCAGCTTGGATCCAGACTTAATCACACTAAAATTACTGGGGCAAACAAGTCACCGCTAACATAGGTCCCATTGTGCTCACTGGGTTACTCTGAGTAAATTTGTACTTGATTATCTCCTATCAGTGGTTTTGAAAGCCTCCAGGGTTTCTCTCCATTTTTGGAAGATATATAGTTAGGAATCAGAATTTTAGAGTACTCATCAGGGAACCTTCTCAACTTTAAAGAAAGGCATTTATAATCTGAAAACTTTAGAACAAAGTTAAAGAACTAACTTGAATGGGTACCTTTATTTTTCAGCACTGTGTGAGTTTCAGCTGCAAGGGAATCCAACTCTGCTACTTATTTTTATTTTATTTATTTATTAAAACATTTCTATGCCGCCCCTTGCCGAAGCCTCGGGGCGGCTCACAACATAGAATAAAATACTTCCACTTTGCATATCCCAATTCTTAAATTACCACTGTGCCTGCCACTTCTTTTTGTTTTATATTCAGCCAATGTGCTCCAATAAGCATTATTGATTTGTTATCTTGCACTGTCCTTACAAGTAGATAGGGTTGTGGTACATATACTACATTTTTCCTTGTAAAGTTCAATTCTGACTTTGATTTGCTGGTGTTTATGTCTGCCAAATATTGTATTTATTTATTTATTTATTTGGAATATTTGTATGCCGACCCATTCGCATAAGCCTCAGGACGGCTTCCAACATAATAAATAATTATTCAGACAAGAACATATAAAATCTGGATTCATCCTTGCTAAAAGGCTTTAAAACCAATAAATAATATTAATAATTATTAAAATATTGTTTAAATAAAAAGGTCTTGACCTGGTGCCAAAAAACAAATAACAACGGCGCCAGATGGACCTCTCTGGGGAGCGCATTCCATAAGTGGGGTGCCACCACAGAGATTTTGCAAAACCTGATGCAGTAGCCCTTCCCATACCCACTTCAGGCAAAATGCCACCTCTTTTATGTTTAAAGCACTGCATTTAACATTTAACGGGGAGAATATTTGTTTCTCCTTCCGTTTTTAATGGCGGGAGGGATAAATGGTTTTAAAGGCAAGTTGGATTAGTGAAATTTAAGAGTTTCTAGTGGGTGATATGCACAACTGGCTTCTGTTAAAATATGCAGAATATTTTTCCTTTGAGCTCAGTCTAGGAAGAAGATTGTACCTTTCAGAATATATGAAGCTCCCTCAGTGCAGAACCAGTCTATCTAGCCCAGTACAATCTGCTCTGACTGGCAGCCTTTGGGGGTTCATTCACAGGAGTTGCTTCCTTTTAACTGGAGTTATCAGGGATTGTACCCTCTGCGCATGCAGGGTGGGTGGGTTCAACACTCAGATACTCTGTACACCCATCTTGTATAATAACTCTTATTTTAAATACTTGAGGTCATGTGGTTGGGAATATCAAGCAGAATTAATTCTCAGCAAAGCTATTATCATTGAGTGTTGCAGGACAAACATGGACAAAATGGCATACTTCCCAGTTTGTTTAATAGGCCATGTCAGAATAATTAAAACAACTGTTCTGCCCAAATGTCTTTGTGTTTGGAG